TAGGAATGCTAATCTCCAATATAGAACCCTACCTCATTCAAACCTATCGATAAAACGTAATAAGCGTGTAGCTAATCCGTGCCTATAACGAATAATAGATAGTATTTAGGGTCAGTACTTGATTTGAGTGGCAGAAGTATTTTGGCTACTTGTGACTAAAACTGAGGGAAATGGAAAAGTAGCTCCTTTAAACAAGATTCAACATGGGAGCCTTATAAGCCAAGTAAGCCAGACAGATGCGGCATAAATAGATATATGCAAAATGAATTTCATAATTAATTTAATTTTAGAATGATGAAAACAACACTTAAGCAAGTTGATTTTAAGTAAGATTTCACAGTTGCATTGACTGCAAGCTAGTCTTAAGTGGGGAAAAGTGAGACTAACCGGAACGACTTTGAATGCATTCTAAGTCGACGCTCAGAGGCTGAGGAAGAGTTATGGATAGAAATTGGGCGAGGCATTAGGTCAGCCACCTCCGAAGACCATGAGGAGCTCGGATGAACTAGTTTAGCAACATCTTCGTCTGCTTCAGCTTCAACCACAACATCTTCCCCAGCTCTTGTTATTCCGGGAGCGTATTTCTGAATAGTTTGCCTGTGAGTCCCCCCGTCTAAAGACTCTATATAATTAGCTTTATATAAAGCGTCCGGGAAATTGTTAATGGAGGGGGCGATAGCAGAAGATGAAACCGGTAACTGATGCTCATTCGAGTTTGCTGAAATATGCTGCTGCATGAGTCCTTTATGAAGCCAATTCTCGACGCTCGTAGAGCTGAAGGCTTTAGTGATTGAGGGTCTAATAAAAAGAAAAAAGAAAAAGAGCATGGACAAAGAGCATAATGAAGAAGCAAAAAATGGATATATAACAATATAAATACGAAGAGAAACTTGGTTTCGATAAATCTCCTGAGATAACATTGTTAGGGGGACGTTTATTTCGAATGAAAGTGCATGAAGAAGAGATTCGTTGGTCAATCTCACCAGATGAGGACGGATGAAACT